CTGGAGAAGCGTGCGCCGCAGCAGGGCCTTGAGCTGAGTCTAGCGGCGAGCGCTACGGCGAATGCGATGGGCTACGAGCGAATTAGTATGACGTACTTCCGCAAAGCGTTTTCTTGCTTCGAAAACCGAATTGTAAACACACCGGCGGAGGATGAAAGCATTTTGAAGCTGCTTGATTACATGCAGAAGGAGCTGATCAGCATAGACGCCGAAGTGCTCGTGGAGTTTGTTTCGCGTATTTGCTACCGCAGCTCTCGACTGCTCGACGAAAATTTAAAATGCACGACGATTGTTCGCTGCGCAGGCATTTTTCAGCAGCTGGGCTGCTTGGCCGAGGCGGCGGACTGCGTCGGACAGGCGCTGCACACGGCGCGCAACTGCATGTTCATCAACGCGGACACTGTGCGCGAGCTCGAGAACGCGATTCAAACGCAGGGGCTGTCGACGCCCCCCGACTACGAGCAGATCATGCAGAGGATTCTGCAAAAAATAGTGAAGTGAGCGCGCGTTCCGGCTGCGTTACGGTTGTTCGGCGGAGTCCAAGTACTGCATCAGATACTCTGCTTTCGCGCGCGTCTGTGCGGCGGCGCAGTCGAGGTACTGCTGTACGAGCTTGGGTCCGTTCTGCGCGCGGAAGGCCGCCTCGGCTTGCGGACAGTTTCGCACGAGCGCTGAGTGCACAGCGATTATCAGTTTGCGGTGGCGCCATTCCAGCTCGGTGGCTGGCTCGCGCGGCACAGCGGCGAGCTTGGGTAGCGAGACGCTAAGCAAGTCGCGCTCGAAGAAAGCGCTTTGCACTGGGAGATTGTTGGGCATCACCGACGTGAGCACGAGAGCGGCGTGCAGCTCTTCTTCTAGGTCGCCTGACTCGAGGCAGTTGAGTAGCGGCGTCACGAAGTCCAGGTGCGTGACGCTCTCTGCAGTGCCCGGGTTGAAATCGAAAATGGAGTGCAGTTCGCGCAATGCTGCGACGCGCTCAGCTGTCTCGCGGTGCAGCAGCTGTTCGCGCAACTGCTTGAGTTGGCTCGTGAGCGAAACGCTGGCTTCGGAGGCGTGTGCGAGCGCTGCCTTTAGAAACTCTTTGCGCTCTGCAGAGAGTGGCGCGATTTGCTGCGCTCGCTCGCCGTCGCAATGGCTCAAGCTCCACTTGAGCAACGACTGCAGATTTGAATTATCAGCCATGAAAATTTCCGAGATTTGCCGCCTAGGCTTCTTTGCGCGCGGCGAGCGCAGTGCAGGTGTGCGTCGTCCAGTACGGCGCTAGGTCTACGATGTTGTATGTAAAGTTATCGACGTCTAGCGCGCCTTCGACGGCGCAGAAGTGTGGGTTGGCGAAGGCCGCGCGTCGCGCGAGCACGGCGCTGAAAAGGCTGTTGTGCTCGTAGAGGTACTCCAGCTTCGACGCAGAGCGCTCCTTGTAGTTGTCGAAATGAAACTCGTTGAAGAAGAAACTGTGCGAGTGCAACTGGAGACACGTCAGCAGCGCGGGCGTGAACTCGAATGCCGTCGGCTGCTGCTTGCAAAGAAAGTTGAGAGCCTGCAGGAACTGCAGCAAGATGAAGCTGCGCTGCGAGGAGTTCTCGTCGCCGAACGCCATGCGCGTTTTGAACTGGTGACCCATCCAGATGAACTCGCGTTCGATGAGCTCAATTAGACCTGCGATCTTGCGGAATCGCGCATCGAGCACGACGCAGGCAAGCGACACTAGCTGCGCGGTGCGGTCCCAACCGTCGCTGCAGTGCACAAGAATGGAGCGGTTCTTGAGAAAGAGCGCTACGATTTTGAAAGTGGCAGCATTGAGCGAGTCGATGTACTCAAACCAGCGGCTCGCGAGCACTTTTTGCAAAAACTTTGTTTTGCTCGACGCGAGGTTGACGCTGCCGTCTTCGTGGTCGAACCGGAAGCGCAAACTCTGCAGCGCCGGCTGCAGCTTCGCGTGGCTGCTGGCCACTTTGTGTATGTTTTCAATGTGCGCGAAGTCGAGCTCACAGCCTTTGTACGAGTTGTTCACGTTCTCAAAGCCCGCACCCTTGACCTTGCTCGCAAGCGCGTTTGCGTAGGGACGCGCATCGTAGATGTAGCTGCTGGTCGTTTGGCGCGGGTGCAGCTGCGAGGTAACGAATGTCTCGTCCGCCTCGCAACGCTGCTCAGTGAGGCTGCATTTTGGTTGACTGCTGCGCCAGATGCTTGCGCCGGCGCCGCGGTAGCTGAGCAGCGGAACACGGCCCTTGGTACGGAAGTCGCGGATGCTGAGCAACTGCTGCTCATCGACGTGCGAGCCGAGCGGCAACAGGTCCGGATACGTCTCGCAAAACTCGTAGTTGAGGTTTACGTGGCTGAAACACTCAGACCCGCACATCGCTCCGTAGTACTGCTGCGGGTCGAACGCGGAAAACAGCGGGGGCTTGAATACCTGCGTCTGCGTCGCCGAGTTGGTGCCATATTTGAGGTTTTCGTCGAAGAAGCAACGCTTGAACGTGCGCAGCCGCGCAAAGAAGTTGGGAGACGCGACGACTTCTTGGGCCAGTGTGAAGCTGAGCAGGATGCCGGTGCGGTGCTGAAAGTGCAGACTGGCTTCTGAGACCTTCGCCGCGTCGAAGAACAGCTTCGCGCCCATCGCGCCTTTGTCGAGCACTACGGTTGCCTTCAGCCGCGTCAGGTTGCCGTGGAACGTGGAGAGCAAGCCGGTGGAAAGCAAGTAGTCGAACACAAAGCGCTGCTGTTGCTCAAAGAAGATACAGGGCTCGATTAGCAGTCTGTAGTTGGTCAGTCGCAAGTTGCAGCGCAGCGACCAGAAGCGAGCAGCCAAAGCGTCACGCTCCGCGTCGTGCTCTGTGCAGACTTCGTCGGCATCATCCGCGTCGACGGCCTTGCCCGCCGCGGAAAAGGGAGGCGCGATGTGTAACGTGCTCTGCGCAAACGTCTCGAGCTCGAATTCGCCCTCGAAAAGCATACTGCGGCTCGGATACGGCTCGAAGCGAAACAGCAGCAGCGCTGGCGCGTTGCAGTAAGTGCGGTGCTCCTCGGCAGTTAGCTTGTAGGGTGGCAGCGTGGTAGAGCTGCTCGCCGGCAGGTCAAGCGCTTTGACTCGGTGAATCGAGAAGTGAGGGGAGACGGTGTGCGGTTGCGCGTTGAAGTCTTGGAAGGATTTGACCGCCGACTGCGCTAGGTTCATTGTGGACGCTACGCACTTGCGCGTGTCGAGCGTGGCGAGCGAGTCGGTGAACTTGCGTAGCCACTTCGAGGAGCGTTGCGGATTTTTTTCGGCATGCGGCTCCTCCGCTTTCTCGCAACTTCCCTCGCTTTTCAGCGCATTCGACGCAGGCCGTATGCCGAACGGGTCGTCGAACCTGCTCATACCTGCGAAAATTATCGAATTTTTATTGATTAACTCTACTTGATCGCTTGCTGATCGCGATGCGCAAAACGAGGTTCTGCGTACTTGGCGCACGGCTAGCGTACGGCGCGCTGTTCAGTGACGTAGATGAAGCATACGAGAACAGCTATACCGCGCGTGTTTCGCTGGAGCCGCCGAAACAGCAGTGCGCGGACTTTCGCAAGCTGTTTGACGAGAGCGAGCTCGCGCTAGCAAAGCTGGTCCGTATGGAGAATCGGCAGATTGAGAAGCGGTTTGATGAACTGGTCGAGAAAACGAAGACGAACATTAACCGCGTGCTCGAAAACGGGTTCAAAGCATTCGAGAGCAAGGAACTACTCGACACACTGCTGGACAGCCTCGGCGTGCAAAACACCGCGTCGGAGACTGCTGAGCCGAACACAAAGCGAAGCGCAGAAAGAAAAAGCAAATCCGAACGGAACGTGCCGAACTTCCGCGTTTCCGACGAGCCCACGCGCAGAAAAGTCAGTCTGCTGGACATCAGCTCGTTGACAAACAAGCTGCAGAATGTCAGCGACCCTTCGTTTCTAGTGACGATGACCTATCCGCCACGCACCGATCCCAAAGTGGTTACGGAAGTCAAGAAGTGTATCAACGACGACGAAAAAGAGCTATTGAAGTTCATAAAGAAGGGCGAGAAACTGCTCAGCGAGGCGGGCGAGTTTTTGGTGCACGTGCTTAAGGAGGGCATCAATGCACAGATGAGCGAGTTTAAAGTCGACTTGGGAGACGTCAAGCGAGCTGTACGCGGTAAGAGCGCGAAACTCACCACGCCGCGGCTGGGCGTGACGAACCCGCACCAACTGAACATTCAGATTTCTGGCTCACAGCGCCCCCTACTGAGCGCCGGAGGCTGTCTGGAGATGTTTGTGCAAAAACGCAGCGAGCTGATGCTGCAGGAGAGGGAGTGGCTTCTGCTCCTTCTGAAAAAATTCTTGACGATTAATTTGCGCTATTTAGACAACGCGATCGCGACGCAGCTGCTGCCCATCGCGAACCTTTTCGGTAAACTGACGGACACACTGCACGCAGTCTGAGCGTAGAATCATGTTTGACAAGTTTGTAGCGCAACTCGCCGCTGCGAAAGGCGAAGAGCTGAACTCTTTCGTCAACTTATTGCTTGCGTTGCAAATTTCGCTGTGGTGTTTGGCGACGTTTTTCGGCCTCGTGTGCTCCGGACTGCTGCTCGGCTACATGCGGCCAACGATGACGGCGAAAGCTATTTTTCTGAGTGGCGCATTCCATGGCTCGCATAAGGATTTGCTGCGCTATTGGCACCGGCTCTTCACGGCGTCGATTCTGCACATCGGCTTACTGCATCTCGCGCTCAACGCGTACTCCGTGTACAGTAGCACGATTGTGTTGTACATCGCGGGCTACCCGGGGCAGCTCTGCATCTTTGGACCCGTGTTGATAGCTTGGGGCAGCGTGGGCGCGACGGCGATTTGCTCAGTGGGACGCGAAAGTGATACGTACATTGCGCTTGGCGCGAGCGGCGGAACTTGCGCGTTCAGTTTGCTGTCCACGTTTGCCGCGATGTTTTCAAAGCACGCAAAGAACTCGAGGCTGAGCACGATGCTCTTCACCAATCTTTTGCTACTGATTATCCAGTGCACGCCGCTGGCCAGTCTAATGAGCACGAGTGGCAAAAACAAAATTGACTACAATTCGCATCTCGCCGGCGCACTGTTGGGCATCGTGGCGTTCGTGATGTTGGAGCGACTATACTCTCCCACGCGCGACGTCGCGTTCGTGAAAATCGCTCTATTGTTGACACTGTTCACGGTCGGCATTTATCTTGCGGCGCTCGTGACGCTCGTGATGCGCAGTTCGGAGCGCGCTCGACACGACGACATTTTGCTGCGCTTGATTGTCAATCGCAAAGGCGTCGTGAAGCCCAAGTACTACATGCCGCGCGACGAAGGCGACGTGGTCTCGTTAGCAGAGAACGTGCTGCTGACAGAAAAAATGTTGGCCAACGACGAGGAGTTCATGCCGAGAGCTCCGCGCAATCCTAAGTCCCAGACGTACAACGCCTACAATGAGTTCGCGGCGCCGCAGCCGGATGCGGCGAGTATTGCTACGTTTGTGACTGTTTAGTTTGTTTCGTCAGGCGGCGCTAAGCCGAGAAGCTCGTTCTGCTGTTCTGTGCGCGCGTATTGCTCGACGGTGAGCTGTGCGTCTTCCGCAGCGGCCGGCGCGGCGGGTGCGGGCATCTCACCGAGCTCCAACTGTTTTTTCACGCTGTAAAAAAGCAATTCGCTTTCGCGCGCGCCTATGTGCGAGTGGTCGACGGGATCGTCGAGAACCAACGTGAACGGTAAGTTCTTTCCCTCGCTAAACTGCTGCAACCCCGCAACGAGCTGCTGAATGCGCTGCTTGCGCACTTCCTCGACTGAGTCGCCGAAGAACGGGAACTTTTCTGTGATCTCCTCGGCGAGCTTCTTCAGCAAGCCTTCGACGGTCGTGTACATGCCGCCCAAGCTGCCCTCCTCTAGAGTGAGCTGCAATTCGGGAATCGCGACCGAGGCGTACTCGCTCTTCAGAAAGTCGCGCTGCAAGTCTCTCTCGGTCTCGACGCGCAGCGTGCGGCGGCAAGCCAGCTCCGCGAACGCCATGCACGGCTTGACTTCGCTGCTGCGGTACGCGCACTTTTCGCAGACAAACGCCATGATCCAGCAGCGGCGAAAGCCGGGGATGTCGATCTCGCAAATTTTGTGCTCGCCCGGCGCGAAGCAGCTCGGACACTCGATCGGCAGCCGTTCGCACTCGTACTTATCTAAATCTGCGGCGTCGACGTCGATCGGCCAGGCTGAGATCGCGACCGGCGGCTCTGCGGATTGTGGGGGGCCGGCTGCGCGCGGCGCTGTGTCGGCAGCGGCCTTCAAGCCTAACTGCTCGAAGGTTTCGTCGCTGACTTTGTAATTGCGTGAGACGATTTGCGGATCGCTTTCCGGCGCCAAGTAATTCTCTACGTACGAGTTTCCGGAAGGGTCGGAGAGCTCGACTTCGAAGGGAGAGAAGTGCTCGCGGTCTAACAGCTGTTTCAGTTTTGCAACGAACGCCGCGAGCTGCTCGCGTTCCGCAGGCAGCAGCTTCGCGTCCTGCGCTATCTTTTCCTCGAGGTTTTCGGCCACTTTGAGAATTGTTCCCTCGACAGTGCTGAAGTGTGTGCGCCGGTTGCACGGCGGCATTTCGAACTGCAGCTGCGCAATGCGAAAAGTGCAGTACTCCGAGATCACGAGGTGTCGGTCCAAGTCAGCCGCGGTCAGCAGCCGCAGCGTGAGATCTTTGCCGAACGGCTGCAGCGGCGCAATGCTCTCAACGGTGTTGTTCTGTAGATGGCAGTGCGGGCAGCTGAAAGAACTGATAAGCACCGTGCGATAGAACGGAATCTCTTTTGGATACAGAATGGTGGTTCCATTCTTCTCGCAGTTCGGACACAGCGATTCGATTTTGCTGATTTCGTTAACGCCGTCCTCCATGAGCGCGAGGCTAGCTGGTCTCTTTTTCGTATAATATAAATCGAAATTGCTTGGCTAGGCTCCGTCTAGCCAAATGCTGGACGCAGAGTGTTCTATCGTATTTCGGTGGGCTCAGCACTTCATTGGGTGGCACGCGCAGCTGATATGAGTCTCTCGCGTCTCGAGCCTGCGCTCCAGTGGGTGTTTGCCGTGCTGCTGGTTTTTGCACTAGCAGCACTGTGCAACGTGCTGTGCAACTTCAAGCAACACTTTCGGATGCGCGTTTCGCGGAGCGGCGGGCGCTTGTTGTTCGTCATTCTGCCTGCGCGCAGGTGCGGCAGCGGCGCGGAGTCGCTCGCAGGGTGGCTGGAGGCGCGGGGGTCGGCGCGACTGCTACGGTGGCTAGCACGGCTGTCTTTAGTGGTCAACCTCCCTCACATCGCGAAAATACTCGTTTCGCTGCTGCGCTGTTGCGCGATTTCGGTTTACTTTTCTGACGACATGATCGATGGCGCATCTTACGCGTATCCGACGCTTTCGCTGAGTATGCGTACTGTCGAAACGCGCGAGTGGCGCGCGGAAAACGTGACGCTCTGTTACGATTTCCAAGCCGCGCTCCTGCTGCTGCGCGTTGCGACGCTGCGCATACAACTCGAGCCCGCGTCGAGAACCAAACTAGGAGACTTGCCGCTGGCTCAAGAGCGGGACGCGACCAACAGCCTTGCCGCCTTCGGCAGCCAGCTGCTGGCGCGTTTGAGCAGCTCGCAGCTATGGGTGCAGGCGCGCAATCTGGAGCCATTGGTCGTCCAGCTCGAGCTCCGTGCGGTGCGCTGCGCGCACTGGGCTAGTCTAGACGACGTGCGGTGCGTGACAGGCGCCGGAGCGCGTAAGATCACCGTGCGTTTCAGCTGCGCCGCGCTTTCTGCGGCGCTGCGAAATACGTGCCTCGCAAGTCGCAACTTTGAGTTGCAGACCTATTTCCGGCCGCGCAACGACTTCTGCTGCAACCTCAAAGCGGAGCAGTTCGAGTTGCGCGCTGCCGACGCGGAGAGTTTGGCAGCCTCCGACCTTATCGTGACCGCGCGGCAGAAGCCACAATCGCAGTTAGCGCATGCACTTGTCTTCAGGTGCCGCTCAATGAAATGCCGCAGCGCACTGCTTGAGCGCCGATTCGCGGAGACAAAGCGACAGTTGCGTTGCGCGTCTCTGCCATTGCTGGAGCCGTGCTACGCAGACGCGCGCGCTGCGCTTTGCTTGTTGTTCGGCGAGCTGCACTGCTCAGACGGTCTGCTCGCCGTGGGCGCACCGTTCTGGCCGGTCGTTTTGCAGTACGTGCAGGCGCACTGGGAGCGCCTTCTGCGTTTTGGAGCATCCTTCGAGGCAGACAGCTTGGAAGTGTTTGACGCGCTGTTCTGCAAGTCTCTGCACTTAGGCCTCAAGACTGAAGTGTTTTCGTGCGCGCTGCTTGACTTGACAGTCGCGGCGAGTGGCTGTCTCGGCCTGGAAACTGTGCGACTGCAAAGCTTGGACGCACGGTTACTGTGCGCACAGACGATCGACTTTCTGGCGCTGGCAAATGTGTCGCTCGGCTTCAGTAGCTGCGAGCGGCTCTCGCTCGATTGCTCGGTAAGCAAAGAAAGCGGCAGCTGCGTGCGATTGAACTCGAAGAAACTGCATCTCAGTTTGCCGCGCGCTTCGCGCGACTTGAGCAGCAGCGTCATTTACGTGTACACACTCGCGACGCAGCTGTCGCGCGTGTTTTGCAAATTTGTCGACGAACTCGTAGAGTACGGCAGCGCGCTAGCGCTGTCTTTGGCGGCGACGCGCTCGAGTTCGGCGCCGGTGGCATCGGCGGCGCAGCTCGAGCTGTTTGCCGCGGACGCTGCGCTTTTCGTCGGCTGCTACAGCATGATGGTGAGTCAGCTGTACTGCAGGAGCTCGTTGTCACTGGAGTGCGGCTGCTTTGAGCGTGCAATTGTGCAGTGGCGGCGTGCGACGCTAACGGAGCAGGGAGCATCGCAGCTGGCTTCAACGCAGGAGTTTCGCTACTCTGAGCGCAGCTATGAATTCGAGCGAGCGACCCTTCAGTTGCCTGAGTTTCACATGCAGAGTCTAGTCTCGCTGGTGCGCTACTTCGCAAGGCCGAAGAATTGCGATATTGGTTCCGAGAACTGCGCGAGGCTGCCGTTCTGGTTGCGATTTAGTCACCCGTTCGCAGCCGTCTATTACTCCATGAACGACCAGTGTTTGTGTTTCCAGCTGAAGCTCAGCGGCGAGAATGCACTGCTCGTGGGGCGCTGCGCCACTGAGATCCACGCGGACGTGCAGTTCTCGTTCCAGCGGTTCGCAAATTCGAAGCCGCTGCTACTGGATCGCTTAGGCGCTGCGCGCCAGGCGTCAGACGAAGCGGCCGCAACGGAGGCGGCGTCGCGTGCTGCGCGGTTGCGGAGCTCTGTGACTCCGTATCCCGCGACTCCACAGCGCTCCGACAGTCGCGCGAGCGCCGAGCATCTGCTGTCGCCGAGCGATTGGCATTGTTTGCTGCCACAACAAACTCTGCACGGGTGCTGCGTGGATGTTCAGTACGGTGCGGCTCTGACTGTGACAGCATCCGCGGCTGCATCCGCGATTAGCGTGGACCGTGGTGCGTTCAGTTCGCTGTTTGTCTTCATCGCGGTTGCGATCCGCGACGTTTCGCAGCCGGTTGTTTGCGACAAGACGCAACGCAGCGACAGCGCAGCTGGCTGCGCGACAGCCTTTGTGATACAGCTGCTCAACCGGCAGCTTTTGCTGAAGAGGATGAAACTGAGTGCAGAGTTGCGCCAAAGTTTCAGCCTCAGGCTGCTGCCTGTGCAGAGCGGGCAAGCAGACGAGTTTTTATGCTTGGCGAGAAGCAAACTGTTTTTTGACACGTGCGCGCTTAACCGCGCAAAGCCGCATGATGCTGGCCGTCTGCTGTTTACGCTTTGCTTGGGAGAACTGCAGGCGCAGTTCAACTTTGGACTGTTGAACTTGCGCGGCTTCGAATTGTTTTTCAACGACCGGCTGTGCAAATGCTCACTGAAGTGCCAGGCAGCCGAGTTTTTCGACGGCGATTTAGACGAAGACGCCGTGCTTGGGCTTCTGAATCTCGCGCATTTAGACGCGGATTCCACTTTTTTCAACGCGATGCAGAGCTCGAGCGCTGCGTGCACCGAGACAGAGACGCCTGTGCCGGATGGCGTGGGCGCGCTTACGCAAACTAGCCCCTTCTCGCGCTCGGCTGCTTCGGAGCGGAGCGTTTCGGCTGCGCTCGAGCGTCCGGCGAGTTCGCCCCTCAGCTGCATGCGCTTTGAGGCAGCGCTGCTTGACCAGGCGAATGCGCTGTCTCCTGAGGACGCGGAGCGTCAGAAATCGCTGGATTGCGACGTTTCTTTGAAGGCCGAGTTTGTTTCGGCGCCATGTGTGACGCTCGCGCGTCGCTGCGGTGCGGCGCGGGACAAAGAACTTCCCGCGAAGCTGTGCGCTCTGCTCAACCACATCGACGAACCGATTACTCTGAGCACTGCCGACAGCGTGATTACGGTAGCGCCGCGAGAGTGCCGCATAGTTCAAAGCGACTGCTGGGTCTCGCCGCAAACGGGCGTCTCAAGCGCAGTGCATTTGCGGAAACTCTTGGCGCTCTGCGAATACAATGTCCAGGGGAAATTCTTCATGGCGGGCTTGTGCTGGTGTGTGCAACCCAGCCGCAATTCTCTTGGCGGAAGCGTTGGCCGATCCGCTGGCGGCTTGCGCGCAATCAAGTGCTGTTACTATGCGCCGAGCGGTGCGCTCGTTCCAGAAGATTCGCCGGAACAAATTTCCCAGAAGTGCTGCAGCTGCGCTGCGATTAAGACTGCAGACGCGGCGCTTGGCGCTCGTTCTCAGCACGCTTGCGTTGCCTCCACGTCGGTCGCGGAATGCGAGCTCTCGGCAGAGTCCTTCGAAGGAAGCTGCGGCTCGGCGTTCGCGTCGACGCTTAATGTGTGCGAAAAAAGCCCTTGCGCTGAGGCGAGATTGTTCAACTCGCCCGCGAACTGTTTCGCTGCTTACAAGAGCATCGTCTTCACAGCCTCGCTGCCCGACCAAAAGTATGTGACCATTAGGCTGTTCGACGAGCTTGGCTATCTCTGCGCACATCAGCGAATTTGCAGCGGCGACGTGTGGACAGCGCCCTGTGCGTTTGAAGCACTCGAGGTCGACGGCGCAACTGTTCCGCTGGCGGAGACGCCGCACACCGTGTCCCGGCATCACAGCTGTCTGATCACGCGCGCCGTGAATGACTGGGACGCCTCGCAGCTGGTCGTATCGATTTTTCACTGCGCGTCGCTCGCGGTTCCAGACGAACTCAGGAGCCAAATTGCGCATGCAGATAGACCTGGCTCGGCCGAGAGTTGTGCGTTCCTTAGGATCGTCGACGGCGCAACGCATTTCAGGCTGGCAGCGCTTTCGAGCGACCGTGCGACTTGTTCGGTCAACTTGGACTTAGTCGCGATGCTCGGTAACAACTCGGTGATCCTGCTGCCGCTTGCGTTCAGCAGCGCGCACGCGAGTCGGCTCAACCGCGTTTCGCACTTCGTGCGAGACTGCGAATACTGCTGCAAGAGCTTTGTGCAGCTGAAGTACCGGGGCTCGCAGCTTGAGCGCGCGACGCTGATCGTGAAGGTTTGGCGGCACTGCCCCGCGTTGAAGCTGTACTACCCGCTGCAGCAGGCGAGCTCCTCGCGCCGCGTGGTGAATATTGCAAATGCGACCGAGCACAAGTTTCTGTACGTCGACCTAGCGCGGCGCACTGCGTTCCAGCTCTCACCATACAGTTGCTACTCGTTTGCGCGGCAGCCGGGCGACGCGATCACCATTTTTCGCTCAAACGCCGAACTCTTCTACGAGCTTGCAGCGAGCGACTGCGGACGCATGCTGCAGACGGTGTCGGTTGACTCCGAGCTTGTTGTCTCGCACGTCGTGAGTAACCAGCTGCACTGCCGCATCGACAGCCGCGAAAG